GCATTGAAAAGTCAGCTGTGATCCTAATGGATTTTCCTTTATATGTGACTTGTTGTTTCTCTTTTGCAGCTTTCAGAATTTTCTCTTTGTTTTGTGCATGTAGTGTTTTTATTATGATGTGCCGTGGAGAGTTTCTGTGCTGGTCCTGTCTGTTTGGTGCTCTGTACGCTTCTTGTATTTGTATGGGCATGTCTTTCTTTAAGTTTGGGAAATTTTCTTCCACAATTCTGTTGAAGATCTGGTCCATGCCATTGTCTTGGGATTCTTCTCTTTCCTGTATGCCTATGATTCACAAGTTTGTTCTTTTTATGGTATCACTGAATCCCTGCATATTCCATTCTTGTGATTTCTTAAATTTTTCATAGTCTTTGCTTGAGTGGTCCAGTTCGTCCACTTTATCTTCCAGTCTTGATACTCTGTTTTCCATTTCGTTCATCCTATTGGTGAAGCTCTCTCCTGTCATTTCTAATTGGGTTATGGAGTGTTTCACTTCATTCTTTATTTCAGCCTGAGTATTCTTCAATATTTCTAGCTCTTTTCTGAATTCATTCAGAAGTTTATCCCTATCTTCCTTCAGCTCTATGATTACCTTGTTTGTGTGTTCTTTAAATTCACTGAATTCTTTTATCATATTCATCATTGTTCTTTTGAGTTCCATGTCCTGCATTATCTCTAGGGGATTCTCATTGTGCTCCTCTAGAGGATTACTGGTATTTGGTGGGGATATGTTATTTTGGTTTTTCATGTTTTATTTTTTCTCTGTGATTTTGACATGTGAATTTCTTTAGTAGTTTCTGACTTGTGTGATACTCGAGACTTCAAGTTTAGTTCTGCTTCTTTTTTTGAACTTTATGTGTCTTTGTGGTTTACTTTTTGTGTATGAAGAGCTGGTTCATCTAAGCTTCTGGTTCTCTCTTTTGATTTTATATTGTCGAGGCCGGATTGACTTTGTCTTCAGGAGTTCCGCGGTGGCCCAACTCCAATGTGGATCAGAAGTTTTCAGACTTTCTGCTTAGGTCTGGAATCTTCTAAGAATGCTTTTGGCCTCAGGAACTTGGGTGGCACTGACCTGAGACCCTTGCCGTGGCTGCGCCAC